AACACTGAGAATTGCTTCAGTAAGTATAAAGGAGGGAAATCATAACTAGAATCAAATAGATTTTAATGCTGGACCAAATAATTGTTACAACTAGTTTTTTGTAGTCCAATGAGCATTTATTCTTATTTGGAGATTTTTTTCATACCAGTGAATAAACCACTCATTTATAAAATATATCACTTAACAGGGGCTGGAGAGATGGCTCAGTGGTTAAGAGCACTTGTTGTTCTTGCAGAAGACCTGGGTTCAAATCCCAGCACCCTCATGGGAGCTGACAACTGTCTGTAGCTCCAGTTCCAGGGGATCCGACAGCCTCTTCTGTCCTCTGAGGGCATTGCATGACATGGGTGCACTTACCTACACACAGGCAAGACACGCATACACACAAAATAAAAATAATAAATAAAATATTTTGTTAAAAAAAGAAGTATGGACAGAAGTCAGCGGAATATATCGAGAAAAATGAAGGCGAGTGGATGGCTCCTGACAGCAGTGTCAGGAAGCTGTACATGCCCAGCTTGATATGGAGGTAGCTCAAACCAAGCAAAGGTCTGTTAAACCAGCATTTACCTGATGTGACAATTGACTTTAATTGTGAATGTGACACAACATAGAATTACCTGGGAAGAGAGTCACAATGAGGGACTGTCTGCATTGGGTTGGCTTGTGGGCATGTCTGTGGGGGACTGCTTTAATGAAGTTAACTGATGTGGGAGGACCCAACCCACTATGAGCAGCACTATTCCCTGGGCAAGGGGTTCTGAACTGTGCAAGAGTGGAGAAAGCACAAGCAAGCAAGTGAGCCTGTGTGCATTCATTTCTTTCTGATCTTGACTGCGGATGTGATGTGTCTGAAGTTCCTGCTTTGACTGCCTCACAATGATGGAATTGCAAACTGAAAGAAACCCCCTTTCTCCCCTAAGTCGCCTTTTGCCAGGGTATTTCATCACAGCAATGGAGCTAAAACTAGGATACTTCATCTGAGAGAGATCTGATTTTCCTGCCAAGGCCTCTACTTTTCTGAAGCTGCAGCAAGTGGCATGGGCTCCAGGAAAGGAGATGAGCAGTGCGGTAGAACGTACATTTCCTAAACATCTCCTGCGCTAAGAGTTATATCACAGGTGGGGTTAATGTGCTACTATGGCTTAAGAGTGTAGCCTTCCTTGAAGCTTAAATGCTCTCTATCTTGTTTAGCGTGTACAGCTCTAGTCTAGGGGTACAGTCCCAGGGAAAGTTGTTATTTTCTGCAGGCAGATCCTGAATTTTCTTTTTTTTTCCCCTGTGTGTCTAATTCTTTTTTCATTTTCCTTATTGCGTTTCTCATCAGGTCTCCCTGTGTTCAAATGCATTTTATATTGTACTTTTCTAGTCAGTGATACTCAAGTCCATACTCAAGTCCATTCATGCCACTGCTTTCTGCATGCTGGCTTTAAGTACTGCACAGCAGCTCTTAGCAATGGTCTCACAGTCTCTGGGTCACGTGAGTCAAGTAGGTAAGTGTTCCTGGAAGACACAGTTTTGGACCCTGGCTTTGTAGCTCCTTGTTAGGCTATCCAGCAATTGTTTATTACTAGTTTTTTACTGTTGGGGGGAGGGTTACTCAAGGTTGTTAAATTGTAAATGACTTGCTATTATTCCAATGTCTAGTACACAGAATCATCTATTTTGAGAAACAATTGAATTGGAAACCAAAACCAGTAACTGAAGAATCTGCCCTTGTGGATTTTTTAAAAAATATTTCATTTGTTATTTTTATTTTATGTGTATGAGTGCATTGCCTGAATGTAAGTGCACTCATACCATGCAAGGATTACAGAAGTTGGAAGTAAGCATCAGATTCCCTGGAACTGATATTAGCTGGTAGGTGGGTGCCGGGAATTGCACCCAGGTTCTCTTCAAAAGCAGTCAGTGCTGTTAACTGCTAAGCCATCTCTCCAGTTCCAACTCTTGTGATTTTTTTAAAAAAAGAATTATTTATTTTATATGTATGCATGGTTTATCTGCATTTATGTAAGGGCACATGTAATGCTAATGGAGGCCAGAAGAAGGCATCACGATCCCTGGAACTGGAATTATTCAGAAGTTTATCCCTATCTTCCTTCAGTTCTTTGATTTCTTTGTGTGTTCTTTAAATTCGCCAAATTCTTTTATCATGTTTATAATTGTTCTTTTGAGTTCCACATCCTGTGTTATCTCTAGGGAGTTTTCATTGTTTACCTCTAGAGGATTATTGGTACTTGGTGCAAATATATTATTTTGGTTTTTCATGTTGTTATTTTTTTTCTGTGACTTTGACGTGAATTTCTTTCGTAGTTTCTGATTCTTGTGTGAGACTCAAACCTTCCTTTCTTGAGTTTAGGTCTGCTTCTTTTTGTAAACTTTATGTGCTTTTGTGGTTTATATGCCTTTGTGGTTTACTAATTGGGCATGAAAAGCTGGTTGGTCTAGGCTTCAGGTTCTCTCTTTTGATTTAGCTGGTTGGTTAAGGCTTCAGGTTCTCTCTTTTGATTTTATGTTGGAGTGGCCAAATAGCTTTCATCTTCAGGAGTTCCCACAGAGACCCAAGTCAGATGAAGATCAGATGCTCTCAGGTTTTCTCCTAAGGTCTGGATCCCTCCAGGAAAGATGTTGCCCTCAGGAATTTGGGAGCTGGGCTGGCCTGGGAGCAGGGCCCGGGAAAAATGCTGGTCTCAGGAAGCTGGTGGCTCTGCCACCCAGGGATGCAAAGGGAGGTGAGAGCACGAAGAGGCCCCCAGCTCCTAGGGACTGCACTGAGGAACTGGGTTGGTTTGGATGCAAAGAATCAGGAAGAAGTGGGGATTCTGGGCCAAGAGGTCAGTCCAGGGGTCTGGGGTACAAAGACAAGAAATTGGCCAGTACCCAGGCTAGGAGGGGAGTTGGGAGGGTGAATGAGGCTGGGGGAGTCAAGGCATGGTGGGTGCTGCTGGGCTTACCTAGGAAAGGTGCTGGCACCAGGACACCAGAGGCTGTGCGGCCCAGGGAGCAAAGGGAAGTGAGGGCGGGACCAAGCCCAGAAGGCTCCTGGGGACTGCAGGGAGGAATTGGGTTGGTCTGGGTGCAAAGGATCAGGAAGAAGTGGGGACTCTGGGCCCAGAGGTCAGTCTAGGAGTCTTCTGTTCCAAGACAAGAAATGGGCCAGTACCCGGGCTAGGAGGGGAGCTGGGAGGGTGAATGAGACTGGTGGGTGTCAAGCTGTGGCAGGCCACAGGACCCACCCAAGAAAAGCAAAGTGAACATCTTAAGGGACATCAAGCCTATGTTTTAAATAAGGTCATCTAAATATACTGTTTAGATTTCCAGAAAATACATCAAGTTCTATTTTTATATTTTGTATTTAAATGATACATATTATTATTTCTAGACCTGATAAAGTTAGCTACAACTAAAAATTACAAATTAGTGACAGATCATATTAAAGAAGAGAAACATTTCATATGGATCTTAAAACAATTATGTTCAAAGAACTTGTATTAAATTTGAAAAATGATCTAATTAGTATTTTTTTAAAAAGAAAAGCAACCATAAAACCCTACCAACCAGATGAAATCTCAGGATTATCTCAGATATAATTTCAGACATCAGAAATCTTAGGCTTGTGGTAAAAGTGGGAACATACATAAACTATTCCTCTGATTTCTGCTGGGAGCTCATGCATATACCCTGATTTATAATTTACTGCTTCTCTCTTCCACAATTGACTCCTTTTTCTTACTTCCCTCAGGCGCCAGTCCTTCTGGAATGTCTAAGGTTGGCATAGAGAAGCAGCAGCTGGTTTCTTCCAGAAGAGAGGCAGGACATGTCCTCTGTGAGTATTCTTGACAAAAAGGAGTCTCAAAATAATTACACAAATTGAAAGCTAATTCACAATATGCTTATTAAAATAGTAAGGAGCTACAGACAAGATTACTTTTTAAACTACCTCATAGTCTCATCTATTGAAAAGAAACATGCTGTTGTATTTTTGAACTCTGTCAAAGAGTTTTATTTTTGGTTAAAAATGTTTAAAAGTCTCCCTTAAGATTTCTGCAGAACCTGGAACATTTGTACCGAGAATGGTTTTTGCAACTAGGTTGAACAACATAACCTCTATTACTCAAACTTAGCTTCATGCCACTGAAGTAAAACTTATGAAAACAGACTGCTGTGACAAGTCTCAGTGAGGCCCTTAAGGGGAAAATAGATTACCAGGTAGCTGGTAGGGCAAGATGTTGAGATGATGTTGCCACAATTCCAGTGGGAATAATGCTTTCAAGAGGCAAAATTGTATTGAGATGCAATTTCAATAGTGTAATATACTGGGGACTGCCTGCTCTGGCTATAATGGTAATAGTAGGAGGAGTCTTCTTGATCAAACGCCGTCAGAATAGCAACAATCAGTCCTTTTTTCCCTGAGCAGAGAAAGCAAGGCATCCTCTGGGAAAGAGGCTTTTTCTCAGAACTTATACCTGCACGAGCACCTTGAGCAGCATTGTCTTTAAATATAGCGAGAAATAAAGTCAGACATGAACATCAAGAGAGAAGTACGTCAAGGAAACCTACCTCATTTTAGGAGCCCATGAAACATTTAGAATGAACGATAATATTATCACGGGAATAAACTGTGGCAAGAGGTCAAAAAGGGAAAAAAAAACTTGAAAATAACCTTTTTAGTTTCTCAGGGGTGTCTAAAGGTACTGGACTAGGAATGCATAGCATTGTATTCCAGATCGCAGAAGTCCAGTTGTGCTCTGTTGTAGAAAATCCTGTTCACTAACAAACCAAGAAAGATGGAAAGATTAAGTATACTGTGATAGGTCCCTAGTTCCTGTTTTAATCTTTTGAAGTTGTTTTATAGTTTTCAAGTATCAGGTCTCTTGATAATAATAATGTTAATAATAGTAACTATGCTGGTAATAATATTAACTGTCATTACTAAATGTACCCAAAGCACTACTTTTGTCTTATTTAATATGAGGAACTTGCTTTTACGGTGTAGTTTTCAGATTGAGGAATTGAAGTTCAAAAGGATTAAGCAACTTGACCAAGATCACACAGTTATAAATCATGGAACTGAATCAGAAAACCAAGACAAAGGTATGCTCTTAAACTATTTACCTCAATAAAAAGCAAAAGGGGGGCTGGAGAGATGGCTCAGCAGTTAAGAGCACTGACTGCTCTTGCAGAGGACTGGGATTCAATTCCCAGCACCCACATGGCAGCTAACAGCTGTCCATAACTCCAGTTCCAGGGGATTTGATGCACTTCTTCTGACCTCCATGGGCATTGTATGACACAGGTGCACTTACACACATGCAGGTAATACACTCATACACATAAAATTTTTTTAAAAAAAGAGTAAAAGGACTACAGTAAAAGGTTATTGGAGAGTGGAAATGACTTGTAATATGGACATACTCTGGACAAAGGACTTTGAGTTAACTTTAAAACCAAAAGTTAATTTTATCTTAGCTTTTTCATAATGTAAACAAGTCTACTAGACCTTGAGCTCCTCTTATAACCTGAACATAGAACTCATGGCTCGTCCATGCCCTTGACCCAGAACAATGTATGACTGTGTGTGTTTTGTATATCAAGCAAGTGATGCAAACAGTGGATATTTGTTGGAAGTAATAAATGAAGATTATCCCATTTGTTGCAAACGACAGGTATTAGATTGATAACATTTGTTTGTGCTTATGGGTGCTGTTCTAATTCAGAGGTATCAGAAAGGGGAAATCCTCTGATGAGATAAGGGTCCACTTCTTCCATATTTCATCCTGGATATATTTCAATAAAAGAAAGAGTAAGCCCTTGTTTGAGAGCACAGTTCCAACAGAATTTTGGAGGAACAGGTTCTCAGAGCTAAAATGGATGCTAAAGAGTAGGCTGTCTTTATTCAGACATCACCATGACATGGCATCACAGTTATTCTCATAGGAGAGTATGAGATAATATTCCTTTAAAGATTTGTAGCTCATAATTTGAATATGAACGAACCACACATTATCTCTGTGACCCATAGCAACATTACTTTCTTATTAGTGCCCCCTCTAGTCTATTTTCTGTTAATACTTGGCTTGAAATGCTTACTTAAATCAGTTGAATAGAGTTTTAGCAAGTCAGATATGGAAAATTGCCAGAATATTAGTCCTTTCTAAATGACTATAATTCTAGGAGTAAAATCATCATGCCAGGCACTCCATGCATATTTGTTAACACAAATGACATTATAGTGTCACTAAGAGAAGTCCAGCAGCTGGCTTCTTTCCTCAGGGTCTTTTCCAAAGAGTAAACCAAAGGTCATTTTGGGACACAAATTGGACTCTATAAACATATATATATATATATATGTGTGTGTGTGTGTGTGTGTATGTGCACATATAAATAATATATAAGTAATAGAGTACATTAAATTGGTTGACAGGAAGTAAGGGGTGGTACAGATAGGGGACGGGATCTAAATACCATCAAATTATATTGTGAAAATCATAAAAATTTAATAATTTTTTAAAAAAGTAAGCCAGGCTTGCCTATTGGACCCTACTGTGAGTTCTCAATTTCCTTACTTATAAAATATGGGATTTGAGAATATTTTAAATTTTTTATTGAAATTTTTGTGTATTTCATACTGAAAATCTCAAACAATCTTAATCTTTATACCCCTATCCCCACTGGCACCCTTCCATAGCCCTCCCCTACTGGAGTCCATATACTCTGTCATCCTTGTTAAGACTCACTGTGTCATCAATGTCCCTAGCTGTTCCCCAGTGCAAGTCAATCCACTGGGGCCTAGTCAGGTCTCTTCCATTTTTTACTTTATGTGAGTAATCAATACTCAATATCTTTCTATAAAAATTTTTTCTCTTAATTTTTTGGAATTATTTTTCTATATGTATGAGTGTTTTGATGCATGTATGTAAGTGTATCACATGTGTGCAATGCTTGTGGAGGCTAGGAGTTGGCATCAAATCCCCTGGAACTGGAGTTTTGGATGCTTGTTAGCTACCATGTATGGATGCTGGGAACTGAACCCATGTCCTCTGTAAAAGCAGCCAATGCTCTTAACCACTGAGCTATCTCTCCAGTCCCTATTTTTTTTTAATCTTAAAATGACTTTGGATTTATAGAAATCTCCTCTATCAAATTATAAGCAACATCAATGCTACCAAGAGAGCAGCAATCCAAAGGTTATGAGAAACAGGCAGCTGGAAATCTCACCAGGAGTCTGAGTGATGCCAGATGAAGCCAACTCCCACTACTTTGCATTGATTGACCAGCTTATTGAGGGACACAGGTGGCTAGAGAGAAATCTGTGCTCTGGCTCTGACTTGTCAGTGGATTCCTTCTGATACTGTTCCTTATGCCTTACTTGCTCCACCGTGCCAACCTGATCAGCGTACTAATGCAGAGGGCACCTTATACCATCAAGAAGCACTTTGCTGTGTTCCCTGTCGCCCCCATCCCAGAGTTCATGTGAAGGCAGACATGGAGCTTGGACTTCAGCACAAGCATCTTCTGCCACATGATGCCCTTCTGCACACTTATGGCCAGGATTTCATGATTTCCTGTCAGCTTGATTTCAGATGCCCAACTGACGAATACATCAGTTTTCCTTGGAAGTGGGTAACTGGGGCCATCACAGAGTCCAATGTACAACCATTGCCCTTATGATGGAAGCTTAATGGGGCTCTTCCAGCAACATCAAGCTATTACCAGCAACACTACTAAGACAGTGGTTGTGGACTATGGGATCAAACTTCTGGACTCCCTCAGCTTGAAGCAGGTTATCATCAGAATAGCTCTCACTACCTGGTCCTGGGGACAATGGAACCTAGCACTTTGACCCTGATGTACCCTTTCTCCAAATGGATGACACCTGCTTAAATCACAGTGTCCTGCTAGAGCACATGTGATCTAGCTAGATTCCTCACATATTTTTGGTGCTATTCAGTCCATTAGAACAGGAGTAACCCAGTGGGATGTCCCTGCTGGGTGAACTCACTCAGGGTCCTTTAGGAGGAAGATCCACGAACATCTGTGCAGATTTGCTATTGGCATGGTCCCTGACATCTGCCAGGTGTCTGTGCTCATCTGCCTGCCAGCACTGTCCATGGACAGGCATCATATACTATCCTCCTCTGTGTGTGTCTACCTGCATGCCTGAAGTTATTCATCAGCAGGCATGAAGAATTCCCTCTCAACATAATGTGACTTCATTATCAGGAACCACTACATGCAGGTCTGGTCCTCAGGCCCTATCAGGTTCCCCAAGAGCATCTAAAGGATCAGGAACAGATAGACAGGAATTTCTCCTCTGTGGTACCTGTACATCGAAAGACAAGAGTGAGGATTAACATCATGCCTGATGATGAGGACAAGTGTTACCTGGTTCTGGGGACAGTGGGCTCAGAGTATTGTGCTCCCTCTATGCTGTGTGTCACTAAAGGCCCTTTCTTCTCAGAAAGGTTGTATTTCACAAGCACATTAACTTGGTGCTTCAATTTTATAACCTGCCAGGACTGGAGGAGGTGTCTCAGGATATGCCATCCCTATTGGGCGTCAGGGACCATGTTGACAAGAAACTGGCCTAGTACATTCACACAGCCATTGACAGCAAGGGCACCCACTTCACAGACCTCAGTGGCTTTCAGGCACAGCCCCAATGATATTTAAAGAAGTTATCTTTGCAGTCCAATATTGCAGTCATGGCCTTTGTCCACTGTGCTAGATAGCTTTAGTTGTCAACTTGACATACCTAGGTAGAGGGGGCCTCAACTGGGGAATTGCCTCCATTGGACTGCCTGTGGCCATGTCTGTGAGGCATTTTCTTGAATGCTGAGTGATGTGGGAGGGTCCAGCTCATGGTGGGCTGGACTACTCTTGGGCATGTGGTCCTGTATTGTATAAGAAAGTAGGCTGAGCACAGGCCAGGAGAGCAAGCCAGTAAACAGCATTCCTCTATGGCCTGTGCTCCAGGTTTCTGCCCTGAGCCCCTGCCTTGGTGTCCCTTCATGATAGACTGTGCTTGTAAGCGAAATGGACTCTTTACTTCCCAAGTTGGTTTTGGTCAGTGTTTTTTTTTTATTTTTCACAGCAACTAAAAGAAACTAGAATATCCAGGAATCACAAAAGTACCTCACAATGCATGCTACCCAGGGTCTGATCATTTCAGGCCTCAGTCATGGCCAGATGGAGGTGATCTTGGACTGGAAATTAATTGCAGGATGACAACTGGGCCTGGAGCCAAGGACTCAAGGACAACCTAATACCTCTCTCACCTCCTTTTAGAGCATCAAACCCTGGATGTGTAGCTCACTTCTGTAAACTATCAGGCATGTTTAGGAGTTGGATCTTTTCCAGTAGCAGGATCAGGAACCCAGAGGTCCAAGACAACTTCTCTACCACGTACCTGTCCCTCCTCAGCCACTTGACCTGTGTATACCTGTATACTCTAGTGTGTGACTGCCTGTAGCCAAGTGGCAGCCACTAGGCCCTTGTCTATTCTAATTTCATCCTCTTGCTTCTACACTGTGATTTCCACCTGCTAGACTTGTATAAAACACCTTGCCCTTGGTAGACATTACATTCATCCTCACTGCAAGCATTTTGACTACGGTCTTAAGTCCAAGGCCTTGAGCTATACCATAAGCCAAAGCCTTTCCACATTGTGGACATGAGGTTCCTACAACTGGCCTCCTTCACATTAATATATTCTCTGGCCTCACCCTGGAAAAGCACCAACATCAATCCAGAGCCCATGGAGATTGCCAACTTTCGCCTATATTTGGGTTAGAACTTCTTGTAGCCTGAAGAGAAAGTTCATCCTCAGAGATTGCCTCTTACTGCAGAGATTGGGTTAGACAAGCCACTCTGACTGTCCTGTCCTGATCTGCCTCTCAGAACTGTGATGAACTGGGCTCTACTCATTTTGTGTATGTTGTTTCTTCTGTGTGTTTCCCAGTGGTGTAGAGGTAAGGCAGACGCAGGTGAGATAAGGGAGAGGAGGGCCTTGGTCAGGGTGTGTGGTATCAGACTTCTTGGTTTTAAGTGACTTCTAATCCATGCACAGAACGAAGTACCCATCCTTTCCCCAAGATGGAAAGTAAGAGGAGCAAGGGCAGATAGAATAGGTCAGAGAGGATGAGTGGAGAACAGTCTAGGTTCAGTAACTGCAGGAGAGAGCCAACTCTAATGGAACCCTGTGCCAATGTAGAGATCATGCACCTATTGTGAGGAGAGTGATGGCGACCCATAGTTAGCAGTGGGATTGAGGAATAGAAGGAATCCCTGTTTTCCCCACAAGAGCACAATGGTTTCCCCGTAGCTTTTGCTTGGCTCCACTCTGAGTACTAATGGGGCTGCATGCCCTGGCTACAGATCACAGGATGGCAATGAAGGACTTGCCTGAGGCTGTCATGGCCGGATATTATAGAACACATCAGGTAATACCCTCCCCCAGTAATTTCAGCTCTGTGTGTGTGTGTGTGTGTGCGTGTGTGTGTGTGTGCGTGTGTGTGTGTGTATTTTTGGAGTGTGGCAAGGGCATGGGCTCTTCCATCCTACTTGATTCTTCTTTGTTCCCTTTACTCCATGCACCACAATCCCCAGGAGCTTTGGTTTTTGTAGACTTCCTTTACTTGGAACAAAGCCTCCAAGATTCCCGTGTTTGGGCAACTTGAGAAGGTGTTCAGTGCTGGGGCTAGCAACCATGCCTTGAAGCTTCACCTCTGACCCATCCACAAAAGTATTCAATTCCTGGCATGTGGGATAAGGAGTAATAAAGAAAAGTTTATAATAGTCTCTAAGGAGGTTGAAAAGTTATTTGGTGAAATTTGAAATCCATTTCTTATTAAAACTGTTAGTAAGTTAAGACTAGAAAGAAACAGCCTAATCTAGATAAAGGTCTCTATTTGAAAATAATAGTTAATAACATTTGATGTCAAACAGCACAGGCATGTCTATGAGAGTCAGAAACTAGCAAGAGACATGCTATTGCTAACCAATGTCCTGGGACTACTAACCCTTACCATAACAAGATAGATGAGAGAGATGAGGAAGACTTATAATTGCCACCACTCATAGCCAATAAAGTTTCCTGGCTGTGAAATCTAAGGGAATCAACAGAAGACTTAGTAAGAACATTCTGCAAGTTGCTCCAATGCTGTACATGTTCCTATAAGATTTTTCTTTTCAGGGCTGGAGAGATGAATCAGCAGTTAAGAGCACTGGCTGCTCTTGCAGAGGACCCAGGTTCAGTTCCCAGCACCCACATGGTGCCTAACAACCATCGATAACTCCAGTTCTGGGGGAATCTGACACCCTCTTCTGATCTCTGTAGGCACTGCGGGACACGGGTGCACTTACATACACGTGTACACATAAAAAAAATTTAAAAATTAAAATTAAAAGAGAGCACTTGTTTGCCCAGTTCTGGGAATCTGACACCCTCTTCTGATCTCTGTAGGCATTGTACAACATAAGACACTTACATGCATGCAGGCAATACACTCAGACACATTAAATAAAGATAAATAAAATATTTAAAAAATTTTTGTTTTCCCCGAATTGGCCCATAAATTTAATGTACTTCCAAAAACCTTAAACAAAGTAAAAGTAAGGTTGTTTACTTTAGTAGTTTGGATCTGAAAAGTTCTCCAAAGGTCTGGGCGTTAAAGACCTGGCGTATGGTGTTATTGAGGAAGGGTAAACCTACAAGAGGGAGGGCCTAGCTTGGAGGAAGTTAGGCCATTGGAGACAAGCCTATGAATGATACTGGAACCCTTCTTCTCCTTTGTTTCCTGGCTGTCGTGCAGTGAACAGTCTCCCCCTTCCATGCTTCTCCTATGATGTTTTGTCCAAAGCAACAGATCCAGACAACCATAGATTGAAAGCATGAGACAAAACATACCTTTCCCCTCTTTATGTTGACTTATTTATGTTTTTTAGATATTTGTTACAGAAGTGGAAGGCTGATTAATGCAATGTAATAAACGTCTGTGTAGGTTTTGTGTGGACAGGAGTTTTCAAGTAAGTTGGTTACTGTATTTTTCCATTTATTTATCAGGTGAATTGGAATTGTTGATTTGTAATAATGTAACTTATTTATGTGACTTCTTGAATGTAGCTATTTCAAAAACAATAAACACGCCCATTAGTAAGTCTGTTCAGAACCAAGCACA